TTATAAACAAATGAATGTTCTTGCTGGGAAGCAATAGGAAATCAATCTGAAATAGAAAATCTAGATGCAAGATCCAGATCTGGATAGGCCTACATTTTCTTTGATTTTATTCCTCTGTTTCAATTTTCATACTCTGGCTTCCATTACTTAAATATACCTATGACGTAATGTCATAAAATACGGTGAAAGTGAAACGAAACGACATGACATCATGATGTTCTGAAATAGGCTACTCCACAAACACCCGGCTCTGGGACCGATAGGAACCCAAGAATGGCAAGATGATGAACATTTTCTCTTAATTAATACATCTAGGATCCTATCTTTTACAAGGGTTAACTTTTCTGAACTTTCTTTGCTGATTTTTTTTTCAAGTAATTAATCGGTAAATTTATAGAAACCCTCCCGTCTCATAAAGGGTATTATTTTGTAGCTTTTTACAGTTTTTTTTCAGAGCCCTGAACACGATCTGAACCCCCCCCCCCCCGCCCTACTCCAGAGCTATTACGTACTCGCTCGTCAGGGGGAGACCCCCTGAAACCCCCCAAGTGACTACAAAAGCATGCATTATAATAAAAAAAGAGACTAAAAATAAGCCTTAACTACAAAAAATTGACCTTATTTGTATATCTTGCGACACTGAAGTGGTGATGGAGCTGACTTCCGGTAGTGGATGTGACGCGAAATGGGAGTGCTTCTATAAAAATACCAATTAATCTAATTTTATGCTGACTCATCCTCTTAACTGTAGATTCTAAATACAGTCCGTGCCGGCTTTAAGCACGCTAGCTTAAAGCACGTTTCGGACTCAAGCACGCTAAATGGCTCTTACCTAATTTTTGCTATATAAATTACACGCCTTTAAGCACGGTAACTTCGGCTTCAAGCACGCTTCATTTACAAGACGGTCAATATTTTCATGATGACCCATCGCAGTTTGAACACAGTCTACACCGCAGCAGTGGAGTGTGTTAAGAGAAACACAAAGAACGCAAGTGATGGACACACTCACTCACGAGGGCGGAGAGGAAGGCAGATGCACACTGCTGCGCGCGCGGACATAGGATCTAGCCGAAGCCAAGGGCAAAGCTACACACAACCAAAAAAAAAATACAAAGAGAGTCGGGGAGACGAGAAAGGGAGGCTGGCTGCGATTTCACCTTTGACCCTCGCTATCCATTAATCCTGATTGTGTATCACGCGCGAGGTGGGATGAAGGCGGTGGTATGAGTGGCACAGGGGGCAGTGGTACGCACAGGCAGTGTGTAGGCCTTGTGTGATGTATCGTGACTGGCCGTCTAAATTAAGTTTTCATTTCCCATTCGACCACAAAACAAAAACAAACAAGCGAACAAAAACTACCATGGCGGGTGTCTAAATAACAGTGCACACTCTTGCAGGACCGCTATAGGCCTACTTACAAACAAAGGGAAATAGCACGGGAAATTTGCTACATGAAAATCTCTGGATTATGTCTACTTCGCACTCAAGCACGCTTCGGCTTTAAGCACGCTTTAGCTTTCTCCCGACGACAGTGCTTAAAGCCGGCATGGACTGTACTAAAATTCACTGATTCAACTAACTTTTTAAGTTTTTAGTAACTTAAGTAGATCTATGTTGGTGCCCAGAGGACTCCCGGCAGTTTTCCGCAAAAAATGACCATGTGCGGAGCAGATCGAGACTCAGCTCATCATCGTTGAAGAGACACAAGACTCAGCAACAGCCATCTCTTATCTGGACATTTTGATTGAAAAAGAATCATTGTAAAAAGAGGAAGAAGAAAGAAAAATGAAAAGGAATGCGGAAACGGAGAAAAAGAAGATAGAGAAGAAAAGAAGCGTATGAAAGAATCAAGAGAGAGAGAAAAAGAGAGAGGAGTTAAAAAAACAGAAAGAGGAGGAGTTGAAAAACCCCCAGAAGGAAGACAGACTTAAAACAAAAGAAGAAAAGAGGATTGAGATGGAGATGAGAAATGCTTGAAAAGAGAAAGGAAAGAAAAGGAAACAAGAAGAGACTCAAATATTTTAAGCGACAGTTCAGTAAATCAAAGTGAAATGGTACTGGACGATCGGTCAGATGAAGATATTGATGTTGGTAAGATAGATGACTTGTTGGATGATACGTTTGAGTGTGAGAAGGAGTTGAGAGCTCTGGAATATGGAGAGCGGGTGGAGGAAGACAATGTTGAGAATGAAATGGTAGATCTGCCTAGATGTATGGAAAGAGAGGTACCGGTAGTTAACTTTGGTCCTGCGGAGTTAGCTGGAAGAGCATTCTTATCGATCGATGACCCACTTACGTTTCCCGTGAGCTTGTGTCGTGGGGCGCCAGGGTCCGATAGGGGTCAGGCGAGCGTGCCGTGGTAGTCAGTAGTGAAAGAACAATGAAAAACACGCCTCATCTTTTATAGCTAGTTGATGCAATCTATGAATAGGTGTTAGTATCGTATCCCCTCATGGGTTGATCAGACGCTGAGAGTTGGGTTTGTCTTTTATGTGTTTGTACATATATGTGGCCGCACCTATGGGTTACAGGTGGCCGCATCTTGGCCGGGTGGCGGCACTGTAGCCAATTTTTCACTGATTGTATGTATGTCATTTTTGCCATAAAACGACAGCAAAGGCTTTGCGCCACTTTCGACTTTTAGTACGTTCACATGTCCTAGCTGCGGCAAATAAAAAGCTTTGCGCTATGTGAAAGTGTCGTGAAAATAGAGGAAGCTTCTCTAGTGGCCGCAAGCTGGCAAGTGACTTTATAAGTAGAAATAGGTTTAAGAAAGTGGTGATGGATTTAAGAAAGCCCAGTGGAAATATCACAAGACAGTCACTGCAGTGGAACCCACAGGGAGCACGAGACATGGGTCGGCCAGGGGAAACATGGAGGAGATGCGTGGAAAGGGACCTGAGAGAGATGAAGTTCACTTGGAACGAGCTTGGAAGGATGGTCCAGGACAGAGATAAATGGAAGAAGCTTGTATGTGGCCTATAGGTCCCCTGCCGGGGGAAAAAGCATTGATGATGGATGTTGGTGCTTTGATCTTCCCACAGTTGGAGTCATCCTTCAGTTTGAGTCTCTGGAACTGAGACCAGCCATTTATTAGAAACCTGAGAGGTCTCCTTTTCTCTTATTTTTTTTACCTAGGCCTTATTGTTCAGGGTTTGTTAACTGTTCCAGAAACATAATCTATACTGTATTCTATTCAGAGCTTAACTCTTTATCTATGAAGGGGGTAAAGCCACTATGCTGGGGCCCTCTTTTGGTATGAAATCTAAAAGTGATATATACATCACTAAATTGGTCACTAAATTCAAACAAGTGAACTTATTTTGATCGTTCTTCATCTAATGAATGAATGAATTCCAGGTAAAAGAGACCTGTTTTTGGCAATAGTCACACCAGCACAAATGTCTGTTACTATGGCTGAAGTTTGCCATAGTAAAACCAATAAATCACTATAGTGGAACTCAGATTCAACAAAGTCGCCGGGCTTTATCTTCAATTTAGTTGAATCAGAATGTTCGTTATAGCAAACTTTTTTTTTGTGAGGATAATTACTGCATCGCGCAAGTAATGTGTAAAAGGAAATAACAAGTCGCTACCTCAGAATTACGAAGTTCTATCTGCAACAGTACCTAGTTTTGAGAAAATTGAAGTTGAAAATTTTGAGTTTCACAACATGGTCAAGCTTTTCCGAATGCATTAATTTTCTCAATTATTTATGTAACATGATGCCAATTGAGTTCTAACAGGTGGTTTAAGTCATTTTGGCTGTGATTCTTTTGCGATATAGAGTATTCTGTTTGCAGATACAATTTTGTAGTTTTCAACAAAACCTGCTGAGCTCAAAACTACAAAGTTCCATCTGCACAATCGGGAATCTCCGATCTTGGCCCCACGTGTAATGAAATACAAATAACAACTTTATATGGGCAAAGATAGTGAATAACAAGATGGGCCACTCAGCCAAAAAAGTGTCCGCAGGAAGTATGCTCTTTGCTTCAGATGGCGCTGCAGTCAGTTTTGAAGCTCTCTTTCGTTTTTCCAGAAGAAGAATAGGAATAGCACCTCCTTGCGTGTGCAGATCGACTGCTGTTCATCAGCAGTTCGGGTACGTTCAGTGCGGAGTTTTAGTTTAAAAAAAATTTTAATGACCTCTCGCCTTTCATTCTAAAGTCAAATTAAACGAAGAAAACCATCACCCTTTCCTCCGGAAGAGGTTTTTTGTCAGCGTAACCATTTAAAAAAAGCGTTCTTCCAAAATTTATCCCAAAACTTGCTAGTTTCACTTTGATTTTTTAAAACTCAAGTAGGGTAACTCTGTTTGCAAAGAGTGCGCTTTTGTGAAGAGGGCGCCACCAAATTTTGAGGACACTTTTTTGATTGGCTCAAAGAGAGAAGTGGCCCATCTTGTTATGTACTATCATTGATATGGGTTAGGGGTAGAAGTAGGGATAGGGGAAGGATTGCAGGATTGTAGGATAGTAGGGTAGTATAGTAATCATTGGGGCCTAAACCGGAATATTCCGAAAAATGGCTGATGTATTTAGTTTATGTGCACATTGGTATTGTCTTCTTTTGTTTTTCTATTTAGTTCGCCATTTTCTTGCTAGTTTTACCTCTGACAGCAGATAACCAAAGCTTTCTCCTATCGCGAATATCTCGACTTCTATTCAAGATAGATGTGTATTTTTTTTCACCAAAGCAAGATAAATTTAAGCGAACTTTAAGATGATAGCAATGACTTTACACAACCCAACACTGATAAGCACCTATAATTCAAGCGTATTTTCTCTTGCATACAGAACTTTGTAATTCTGAAAAGGTCTTCCGGTATTTAGATAGAACAACGTAATTCAGTGAATATCTTGTTAACAACTCCAAATTTCCTTACAATTTTTACAGAACAGACAGAACATTTGATTTCTGACCTCATGGTCCTGATAACTCAACATGACCAAAAATGTCAGATAGAAGTAGAACTTTGTAATTCTGAGGTAGCAAAGTGGTAGGCTACCCTGAAATGCCTGCTTTTTTTGCTCCGTTTCAACTTCCTCAATCAAAATTAGTTTAGTTTCAAATGAGAACCATTTTAGTTTTTTTTATGGATTACCGAAGGAATGCTGGAAAATTAAATGAAAGTACACTGATCTATACAAAGCACACATTGTGCAAAAGGGCCGATTTGTTCAAACACACACCTGTGTCATCTGTGATGTATTGTTTGCCCCAAAAGTTGTGTTTCTTCTAGCATACAGCAATGTTAGATTCCACAGACGAGTACACAATTCATTACGTAGAAATATTTCAAAACGAGCTCATCGTTATTATATAATATTGATCAGAGTTGGGGGGAGGGTGGGGTGGAATAACTGACGCATTTGCATCTCTACCAGCGTGCAATTCCCGGGCCGCTTGTGTCGTCTCTCCCAAGACATACGGACACATAGTCACGTGTGTGCTGACTTCCCGTCCGACCCTGACACACACTGACTATGACACGTGCGCGTGCCAACAAAGCGTGTGCTGGTATGAAAGAATGCAGCTGATTGGTTGTATAAAATATAAATAATAGTCTAAGCGAATAATGGTTCATGATGCAGGTGCCATGGATAATTTCCAGGAACATACATTGTTAATTACAGGAGAATAAATAGCGAAGACATGTCAGCAAGGATTGTTCACCGTGCAAGCAACCTTGTTGAATCTGAGCTTGCTCATTTATATGTTAGTTGAATCTGAGTTATTTTTATTGAGTGTAATGAATAGAAAAAAATGGGGATTCCACCTCCTTTAGTTCAATCCGAGTTTTCATTGAATCCCAGTTGGTTAAATCTGAGTTCCACTGTATCATGAAATTCATTGTCAGTTGTGTCTTCATTGTCATTATAATATCTGGACCCTCTATCTCCAAATGTATATAATTGCACAAAGAGATTGGAGATCTTGACAAACCAACAATAAATTAATGTTGTTATGCTATTCCACAGATGATACAGTGACTCCTTTGTTCAAGTCAAGAGCTGTGAGCATTTATAATATAATGAGTGTGAGAGGCAAAAGGAAACAAGAAGCAGACTGTGGTAATGTTGCCTTCATATTTGAGAGTCAGCTTCTTTTATGCTATAGATGTTCCACAGAAATAAAATGGAGAATTACAATGGCTAAGGTTAGTTTCAATAAAATGAGCTCAATCCTGAAAAATAGAAATATCTCAATGAACACCAATTTATGAAATGTCTGAAATGCTATGTTTGGTCAACCCTTCTATATGGCTGTGAATACAGACAATCACTAAAGACAGTTTAAATAAAATAGAAGCAACAGAAATGTGGTTTCTTAGGAGACTGCGTAGAGTATCGGGGAAGGAAAAGAAATCAAATGAGGTAGTGCTTGATGAAGCCCACGTGGAACGCTCAATGTTAAAAACAATCAGGAAACGACAAATGCAGTTTTTGGGACACCTGAACAGACATAAGAGTCTTGAACATCTAGCTCTCACTGGCAAAATTGAGGGCAAGCGAGGCAGGGGTAGGCCCAGAACAACATATTTAGGGAACATATGGACAACAGGGAAAGATCAGGGAAACATAGCTTTTTTTAGAGCATCCGAGCAAAGGCATGAATGGAGAACCATGATTGCTGATGTCTGTCGCAGATCTGGCAATGGATGATGATGATGATAATAAAATAATCATTGAAGGACATATTTCTCCTTCTATTTATATGAATGTCTCTTTGCTACATTCAAAACCTAATGCTGTGATATGTTATGTTATATGAGCTGTGACAGATTTAGTCTGTGTGTATTTGAGAACATAAGTATTAAGCACAGAAGCTTTGTTTTTCTTTCTGAAGTGTGTACATTTTTGGGGGGCACACTTGGACTCTGCCATGTCATTTTCAGTATATAAGGAGGGAGTAAATGGTGAGGAAACATGGTTAGTATCAACCCATCCTTTGATTTTTTTTTTACTTGTGTGCTTACTTTCATCACCATATCTCTTCTTATTATGCCTTCTTGTAACCATTTTCTTTCAGAGGTGTCTTCTGTGGAAAATAAGAGCAAGTACTTTGGGAATGTAAAGGATGCGTCTACAAGCGAACCAAAATCTAATGATGTTAATGCTGCAGACAGTAAGATTTCCGATGCAAATGTAGGAAAGGAAGCTGATGATAATTCAGACGGCAATTCCGTACGGCTTGTTGGTGAATTCTACAATAAACCGTGCACAGACCTAGCACAGGCATTACTTGGCAAGAGAGTTGTACGTCTAGTTAATGGAGAGAGACTAAGTGGCAGGATTGTAGAGACTGAGGCGTATTTGGGTAAGTCTTTTGATTGTATAGAATGTTTTGTTACAGAGGGTTGGCAGAACATTTTTCATTGAACTTATTCTCTCATTGGCAGGAATATTTAATATTTTTGAATCATGTGAAGATAAGATAAGATAAGATACATCTTTATTGTCCAGATCCTAGCACATTGGTTTGGTGTTTCCCCACGTATACACACACACACACACACCCACAAACACACACACACACACAAACATGCACACACACGCAGTATGCTTGCACTCACAAACAGGCTTACAGTCAAATGCATAATATAAATGAACAGTAATATAAAGAATAATAATCTTAAGCTAGATATACATACTCAGTATTCTGATTGTAACTCAATGGTATTCTGATGCATGCTCTAAGGTCATATGAATACTTATATAACAAGATGATTAAGATGGAAGAAGTTTGATGGATGATGGTAAGAATGACCTCCTGTATCTTTCTTTGTGACTGTTACAGATCAGAAGCCAAGGTCTTTTACTTCTGACTGATATTTTTATTTGAGGGAACACGGGATGTTTACTATCCAAAAAGATGGAATTAATTTTTCTAGTCCAAGCTATAAATTAATGTACAATTCATCCAAGTAGGAGAATGTAGATGTTGAAACTTTGCATTCTCTCCGTATTAATCGATTTAATTTAAAAAACAGCTTATGATTTTCACACCATTCAGAAAAATTTAGTACAAAATTCCGGTGAGCATTTTTGTTATGGTCAGCCTGAATGAGCCCAATTATGGTTGAATCATCAGCAAATTTTATCAACTTGATGTTACTGTTGTTTATTTGGCAATCATTTGTGTATAGTGTAAATAAAACTAGTGACAAAACACATCCTTGAGGGGTCCTGTATTTGTTATGATGTGTGTCAATAAGGAATGTTTTAATATTACATACGGTACTGGGTTCGGTTGGTCAGAAAAATCCCTATCCATGATGTTAAATTGACATTAACACCTATGTTTTCTAATTTAGGACCGTAGAGGCAAACTCATCTCTTTTCCCATAACTTTAAGTGGAGCAAATAATTCTGAATTACCTCTTGGGCCAAGTGCTGTCTGTTACAGGTTTGGTCCGAGCGCACACTGATGTCCAATTTGTACTTACTTGGAGTGACAAAAAAGTGTATAGAATTTTTGTCCCAAAAAGCTTGCATAATGTTTCTGTGTCTGTGAGGTTTTTGTAAGAATCACTCTTCTGTCATAGTAAATAATTTATAGTTTCTTTTCTCAAGCTAGTAACAAACCAGGAACTGATCCTACTAGACTATAATTATCTTTGGCACTCAAATATGTCCTGATTTAGCAACTTTGGATACAGTTTTGTGTTTTGACAAACTCTTATTTTGTATTCACATTTTCTTAATTGTTCTTATTGATTTTATGTAAATAAATTTAAGAAAAGGAGAGGAGGGGGGAGGATGAATAGAAGGAGAATGGTCAAAGTTTTAATTCACTGTAAGGGAAAGAATGAAATAGTAATATAATTCTTATGCATTAGACTCTCACTGCAGCACTTGATTGATAGCCACACTCCTATGGATTGAGGTTGATAGACTTGTCTGTCAGGGCTGGCACTTCTCTGAAAACTTTTAACTCTTTAGTTTTTAAAATTAAATACAATTTTGAATGTTCTGTACTCTAGTTTGTTAAGTTCCCTCTGCTTGTACTTCTTGCGAGTGCTACAATTGTCTTAATCTATCTGGGGTGAAATATAATTTTTATTGTATTGACTCACTGTGATTTGCATTTCAATAATGATTGATGTTGCCCCAATGTCATATTTGCCACCACATACTCAGCCTTGGTAAATTAAACTTTTCATCTTAATAAGTACTTTCAACCTATGCATTTTTGTTTTACAGGTCTAGAGGACAAAGCAGCTCATTCTTACAAAGGCAAGAAAACTGACAAGAATACAGCAATGTTCATGACTCCGGGCACGAGCTATGTGTACAATATTTATGGCGTGTACTGCTGTTTTAACATTTCTAGTCAAGGTAAGCACAATGACTACATCATAACAACATGTGTGAAAAGGCTTTACAACTCGAGGGTTTTGTCGATTCTGCTCTCGGACTTGCAAATATGACTCGAGGCAAGATCGTGCTAACAATATAGTTAGGATGACAGTCTAGTACCATTAACTCAGATCTATGAATTTTGATGGCATTTAGGTCCACCTCATTTTATGCATTGCTGTAAATTTTCACAGTATGAGCAAACTACAATATTTGCATTACCAACTGAAGCCAAAGTTTAACTGACTAACCGTACTGACAGAGCAGAGTAAATGTACCAGCTATTTTTAAAACGAATTACTATTTGATACTTTGATAAACGACTGAGGGCATTGTTGATGATATGACATGGGTACAGTACAATGTACTGTGCTGTTATGTTTGAGTCCTCTCAGAGGGGATTACCAATGCCAATGGTAAGTGGTCCAAAATCTCTGTTTCTGGGGACGCATTTTTTCTAAAGGATATTAAAGCTGAAATTTTCTAATAACAGTTCTGTTTATTTCAAGTTAAAATTTCAGTAATGTCTTCAGAATGGGCAATGTTATATGAAGCAAAGAGGTATAACCCCAATAGTATGGCATGACCTCACATGTGCCAGCTATGGGCACAGGTCTGCCGTACCATTGACTGCAAGAAGGGCAGTTGACACAGTACCAGTAACAACAGTGTTGTGATAATATTAATACAGTAGTACTGGATTTCTTTACTTAATATATGTAGCCTTGTGAGGTGTTTTCATTGATGTGCATTACTATATCTGCTTTCATTATTCTTTGTTCTTGTCTTTGGGTCAAGTGCTTCTTTTGTTAATGAGCCTTTAGATATGTCTAATGATACAAGTATAACACTTTACCCCCATGGGACGCCGATCGGCGATGATGTGATATAGCAGGTACTGGACATTGAGGATAAGTGTTGCGCTCTCTGTGCGCTGTGTGGGTGGATAGTGTTAACTCATTTAGAAGGAAACTTTACAAAACGAAAATGAGCTATCTTCTTTAAATGACCATAAGGAATGGAAATGGATCATGTTTAAATCCGCCCTTCCTCTCTTAGCTTCCTTCTTTCTCCTTCCAACTTATTGCTCTCTTTCACTACTACAGGAAGTTTTTTTCATGAAAGCAAAAAGTATCAAGGAATTTTGCACAAGCAATCCATGAAATAAAAGAAGAAATATCTTGAAAATAAATGTGATTGTTAAATAAACCAAATTGCTTTTATTGAAAGTGGTTTTGTACCTTTAACTCAATGACCAACCTCTTTACTCAATGCCTAAAAAACCTTTTGACTTACTTGGCCAACCAATTGTGTAGGCTTTAGTTCTCTTTCCCAGTTTTGAAAAAATATGAAGTCTTTCCAAAGATATACTTCACTAACATTAATTGACCACCTGAAAGGTCATTCACCCCTCTAATCATTTCTAATGCTTGTCACTTTTATGTCCTTTGTCTTTCCACCATTTTGACTACAGCCCATTAGCCCTGTGCCTCTCTCATATGACTGAAGGTGTGGTCACTTGACAAATAAGCTCTGAAATCATCAAGATTTTTGCGTTGTAGTAAAAAATGGGACAACACCAACGACATTTTGTAGACATTGAGTTTGTTCCATTTTTCCTTTGCATAGAGCAGTAAAAATAGAGAATGCCCATTGTGATCTTGATAATCTGGTAGTGTAGTCATTGAGATAATACCACATCCCATTTAAATGGACCTGTGTTGAGACTGAAAAACTATTATGAACTCAGTAATGATTGTAAAAATTTCTCTACCTTTACAACAGTTGTTGTGTTATTAATATTTTTGCTGACCACAAATACAATGGAGTCTGCTTAAACGGAATATGGTTAATATGAAAACAATGAGAATCTGAAAGAAAATGAAGTCCCAAATTTTTTTCTTTTCTATTTGAGCAATCTCTGGAAATCGAAAACCTGGTGGCCAGCAGGTTTCGGTTTAAACTGACTTCACTGTAAATACTGTACAAATGTTTTATGTCAGAATGGATTTACGCCTTGTGATGATGGAACAAATTTCTTGTGAATGTACAATACATTTCATTTTGTCTTATCACATTTTATCTTGCTAACAGGTGAAGGAGCAGCTGTGCTAATTCGGGCGCTGGAAGTGATAGAAGGTGCTGAGGTTATGAGGAAGAGTCGAATGGCAAAGACTTCCAAAGCCATGAAAGATAAAGACCTGACTAATGGACCGTCCAAGCTGTGCCAGGCACTTCAAATAAACAAGGGCCTGTTCAACAAAGTTGATTTGGCAACTTCCCAGGAGCTATGGCTTGAGCAAGATACAGGGGTTGAAGCCAGCAAGGTTGTCAGAAGTCCAAGAATAAATATTGGTTATGCTGAAGAATGGGTGGACAAACATTTAAGATTTTATGTTCTTGGTAGTTCTTTTGTAAGTGTGAGGAATAAAGAATGTGAAGCGAAGTGCCCTGGTTAGCAGGATTTTCTGTTTTATAACATATCCTCCTCTTTACATGATAGCCTCACAGAATACTAACTCAAGACATTCCAACTGCTGTATAATTTGTTTTATTTGAGAGCTTTATGTTCGCAAAACCCACATGACATTTTCATAATAATAGCTTTTTAGGACATGCAATCATCATAAATGAATTTCATATTGTAAAATTCATGATAATCAGATATTCAAAGAAAAAAATGAGTTTTTTAGATATTAGCATACCATACTGGGTTGGATAATGCCATGGTAGAATGTCAAATTTATGTTGATTGTCCTGTGATAGTTATCAGTGCCAAACATAAATGCTTAATCGTCCTGTTCAGTCTTTGAAACTGCAGGTAACATTATAGTCCTAAGTCTTGAAATGCCTCAAATTGATATTTAAGTCAGAAATCATAACTATATGTTTAGACTGTGCTATCACTAGAAAATTGTTGTGAGAAGTTGACTTGATTATTAATACTTTAAACCCCTTCAGCACAGTATAGATTATTTTAGAGGCTGGCTGCTTTGACCCTGCTCATCAAGCTCATCTCTGGCTGTTGGGATTCTATGTTGAAGGTTGGACTTACTCAATGGAATTTCTTTCTTGTATGGTAACTGAATTCTTGTCTTTTGCTTCTAAAGTAAAGAGCCTAACTACTGAAAGGTTATGGATTTTAATCATCATTATTGATGATCTATGATCAAGGGATCATTCTTGTAATTTTAAAAAATCTGCCTTTTATGTCGCTAGTGAGGTCATGTAATGATGCCTATGTCAAAAAAATGCAATTGAATATTTTGTGTGTATTGAATGGTATTAATATGTGAGGCATCTTGGCGAAATCAGGCGCTTGTCAAAATAATGAAATCAAAGATACCAGCATTTTTCTGCAAGTTTTGCAATTATTATTGAATTTTTGTTTTTTTGGCTGAACATCTTTATGCACTTTTCATTTAAAACATATTTCTGTGTGGATTTTACTGAAAAACATTGATTAAAGGCACAAATAATGTAAATTTTTAGTTTTCATGGATAAGAAAGGTTTGGAAGACCCAAAACTTTGGTGGCTATTTTCTCGCTAATGTAACCTTTGACACCAGGGCTGCCGTCGGAAGGGAAAATGCCGAATGGTAAAAGTTTTTCGATTTTTTAATTTTTATATATTTCATAGAGTAATTAATTCTGCATCTGATGGTGTAAAAATTTTTTGTCATATCCTAATCCGCTGTTGCGTTATTGAGTTATTGAGAGTTCGTCGTTTTCCCTTACACTGGCGAGCTCCGAGTGAAAAATAGAAGAGTTATAAAGTGAAAACAGTTTTTGCCTCTCCTGAAAAGTTTGCCTCGCTACCTGTGCAGGACCATTCGTCATTTTCCCTTACTCTCTCTCTCTCTCTCTTCTGGCGCTGTGGCTTCATAAACGGTCAGCGATGCCGACAGCACGCAGGAACTCAACACTCGCCCGGGGGTCCTTAAAAAGTGCTGAAAGTGGGTTACTGAAATGTCCCAGCAGACGGGTTCTAGCACGATAGCTGGCGGGACACCTCAGGAACACATGGTCCATAGTTTCGTCCTCCTCCTTGCAGGCTCGACAGGATGGATCTGGGTTGTCTGCTGGCGCAATTTTGTGGAGATATGATCTCAGCTTGGGCGATTTTCCACCAGTTCTCATTTGGGAGAGAAGCCGGCGGTCCTGTCGTTTGAGCGAGGCCTCAAGCTGGAATGATGGCGGCTGGGCAAACGGCAGTTTGGGTTTCGCCTCTCTTTTCCACTTTGCGCGGGTCAATCGGTGGATGACAGCTTTAGCTGTCGAGAAATCGATTGGCGTGTCATTCTGGGTAAGCGCTGTTGCTTCTTTGGCGATGCTGTCAACTTCCTCGTTCCCAGCCAGTCCGGCGTGGCCTGGAATCCACTGTAAGTGGATGGAACATTCAGAGCGTTGACAGAGGGTGTGCAGATGTTGCCAGATTGAGCAGGCCACCTTTTCCGATTGGTTGGTAGGGCCGTATGAGAGGCGCATGACTGCTGATCTAGAATCAGTGTATACATGGATGCGTGCACTGTTCGGAAGGCTGCCTGCTGTATGTAGTGCCACAAGCATGTCAAGCGCTGTGTCGAGAGCTACAAGCCCTTACGACGGCAGAGGGGACCCCCACTCCTTCAAACTCAAATATCTCTACTTCTATTAAAGATTTTCACCATATGCAAGGCAAAAAGACAGGCTTTAAGTTAATACCCAAAAATTGATGACCGCCTGATTCGACCACATCGTGGCAACCATTGTTACCGCTGTCAGTTCAAATGAATCGCATCAGAACTTGTATGCTGATTCTTAAAGATCTCTCAAAGTTATTTTCTGACTATGTTTGTTTGATTTTTTTGTGCTGTAGAGAAAATCTTTTAGTTGGGATTAAAAGAAGACATCTTGTTAGCTTTCCCCCCACTTTCTCACTTCTTTTTTTGCTCTTTTTACAACTTGACCAAGCACTCCAACTTAAAGATAACCTGTATATTTGTAAAGATGTTTGTTCATGTGAAAGGAGATGCACACACACACACACACACACACACACACACACACACACACACACACACACGCATACAAACACGCATGCACTGAGGGAGAGGGAGAGAAAGAGGTTGAATGAGATATGTTGGTAAGCTTCTGTATATATTATTATGCTTTATTATTGTAATAATTATAATTTTCGTAAATCATTATGGCCTCATAGTAGTCATAGACACAATTCTGACCTTTTGGGAAGCAGGCTGCTTCGGCCCTGACTGTTGGACCCTTCCCATGTTGAGCAGGATACAACATCCCAGCAGAGGGAAGATGGAGATACTTGATAGAGAAAGTTCCCCTGATGGGAATTGAACTCGTGTCTTGTGCGTGCAAAGGCAAGGAGTGTAACCATTACACCTGTGATACTGCTGCTATGTTTCCTGCTACATGTATTAAATTTTGAATTGCAGAGGCTGGTACACTGTTAATTTCTTCCTATGGTAGACCAATAAATTGCAGTTATACATCTTATCTAATATTATTTATTGTTTCTTTCAAACTTTATCGAGAGGAGGAATGAAACACAATGCATATATGAGAGATAATATAGCTATAAAATATGTCTTACTGAAACCTGAATTTATCTGTACCAATACTCATGTTGGGCCATTATTTGCTGTATGAGTCTTTACACTATTTCTGTTTGTTTTGAGGATTTTGTGATACTTGTTTATTTTTACTTATCACTCCTAACAGCACCTAACATTAAAAAAAATAAAAACATAATTGAGCTTTATGCTCCAGGGAAAACATGTAGGTCTAGATCTATTTCGGTATGAGCTTTGGCATTCAGGAGTCAATTTTTCCTTTTGCTTGTGAGTTTTATTGTAATGATAATAATAAATAGCATTTTTATAGCGCATAAATACACTCATCAGCAAACCATATGTGCTTTAAAATCTGTTATTATTACCTCAGTGGATCCTGGAACACCCAGGAAGCATACAATGCAATGACCTATGAAGAGCTCAAACACTAATACATAAGATCATTTGGCTTTATATAGATGGGTAATCATACCCACCGAGGTAAGGGAGGAAAATTTGAGTAAAGTGCATCTTCTAAGGACACAATGCTGGGTTCCATACAGGATTTGAACCTATGACCTTTAAGTTGCTACCCCAACAGGTTAACCACTAGACCATTTGACAAGTGGTTATGTCATGATAATATATAGAATAGCATGAATATAAAAATAAAGTCTAGTGAGTGTGAATGGTACTTAATTTTTTAAATTTGTCGTCCATAATCTTTTTTTCCTGCTCCTCTGTCAATGTAAACACTCATTATATTCAATAAGTATTAGACCTAGATCTATGTCCTCAGTAGATGTGCAGAAAGAGTGCGTTGAAATAAAAATAAACTGAAAAGTAAATATTTTTTCACTCTAAACTTCTTCTTGTCATGTTTTTTGCCTTTGTTTGACGCGCTCTCCAGAGAGGACATTCTGTCTTCCTCAAGAGTGTTGACATGGATAAGACCTGATGTGTGTCTGTGTGTGATTCATGTCTATGTTTGTACCTGTGTACACCCCCTCCTTTATATATATATATATATATATATATATATATATATCTGTCGGTGGTTGGCGGGTGCTCTGGTGTGGTTTGCTCCTTCTTTCCTATTAAACGTCTATCGTCCTTATCTCACCTTCTTTTTTATGTTTGTTACTCTCTAGTAACACCTCTAATCTACTGGCGCTCATGACCTTATGCAGTTGTCAGCGCCGTAAAACCTCTGCTAAAACTACCCCCCCCCCTCTCTCTCTCTCTCTCTCTCTCTCTCTCTCTCTCTCTCTCTCTCTCTCTCTCTCTCTCTCTCTCTCTCTCTTGATCTCTCTCTCTTTCTTGATCTCCCTTTCTGTGTGTGTATGTGTGTGTGTGTGTGTGTGTGTGTGTGTGTGTGTGTGTGTATGTGTGTGTGTGTGTGTTTGTGTGTGTGTGTGCGCGTGCGTGCGTGCGTGCGTGTGTGCGCTTATTTATGTTTCATTTTTCACGTATGAATTATGTGTATGTTCTTATGTGCACCGCCTTTTCCTTGTCCTAGTCACCACCGTGACCCCCCCCCCTCCGCACACACACACACACAACATACGTACACCCATTGTAAATGTCCTGAGAGAGAGAGTGATTTATTGTCTGTCGGCCTAGACATCTTGGCACAGGTACGGGCAGCGGTGACACACCTGTGCAGAAGACGCAAACACAAGGTAAGAAATAACTGCCCCTTGCCTGCTATGACATCAGTGTGTTTCTTTTTTGTACACGTCCTACAAATTCTCCAAATTGTACCTAGTGTTCTGTTTGACTGTCTGTTTGTCCGTTGGTTTTTACTTCAACCCGACGCTGAATTTCTTGACAATTATGATCTTTTCGTTCTCTTATGATCCTCTTGCCCATTTCTGTCTCTATTTTTGCCCACGATCCTCATTTTCAACCCTCCCATTCCCCTACTTTCTCCTTTATTTTATCGCAATGTCTGTTTTTTTCTCTCTTTTTCTCTCTCCTTCTTCTACTCTTATAATATCATCTCTTTCGTCTCACCTTCCCAGATTCGAATCCCGCAGTGTTTATTCTCGCCTTTTCGTCGATTATAGAGTGTTCATGACTTTCAATTCTTTCAGAGGAGGAGCTGAAACAGACGTTATACCTCTTGTTACCCCACGGGGCGGTGCCACTGACTGAAGTGTCTTTAGGCCGTTCCCAAAGGGGGGGGGGTTCTCGTTCTAATGCACAGTAGAATTGTAAATGGGCTGATCCAACAATGTCCTGCTCATAACTGTGCCTGAACTACAATAGGGAACTGCTGCTTATTCTTTCCTAATCCTTACTGTCGTCATTTCCTCTAATTCTTTTGTATGTTTGTCACACCCTTGTGACCCTCTATAATTTCCGGGGTGCCTTGATAGTCGAAGCAGATTTATGCTGTTGAAGCTACAGAGTTGAACAGAGTAAGTCTGGTTCCCTGTAAGGACTTCTCTGTTGACATCCACCCCTTGGCGCTCATATGACTATATGACCTTATGCAGTGGCGAACGCCGTAAAACCTCTACTAAAACGAACACCTCTTGTGGGTTGAATCGGGCGTTATAGCCCCCC